TCCCATGTTTTGCCAGTTAACCCGGTCTTGTGCTTGCTGCTGACAAATTATACCTGCAAACTTCTTAATCTCATCTGCCCACCTAACCTTCTGTCTCTCCCTAACCTGCTTCCCTTCTCTGGGAATCCAGTTAGTTACCCTTAATGACCAGCGGTTATCCTGTCTACGCACTACATGCCCGGCCCATGTCCATTTGCTCTTCTTTATTTCAGCTATGATATCCTTAACCCCCGTTTGTTCCCTAATCCACTCTGCTCTCTTCTTGTCTCATAAGGTTACACCTACCATTTCCCGTCAGGTTACACCTACCTGACGGGAAGAGTACCAGAGTCTTGGAAGAACGCTAACATCATCTTAATACATAAGAAAGGAGATGACAAGGACTTGAAGAATTACAAGCCGATCAGCTTGCTCTCTGTAGTATACAAGCTATTTACAAAGGTTATTGCTAACAGAGTAAAGAAAACATTAGAATTCAATCAACCAAAGGAACAAGCAGGATTTCGAACAGGCTACTCAAGAATTGACCACATTCATACTATCAATCAGGTAATAGAGAAATGCTCAGAGTATAACCAACCACTATACATAGCCTTCATAGATTACGAGAAGGCGTTTGATTCAGTAGAAATATCAGCCGTCATGCAGACACTGTGGAATCGGGGCGTAGAGGAAGTATATATAAACATTCTGGAAGAAATCTACAGTGGATCAACTGCTACCATAGTGCTTCATAAAGAAAGCAACAGAATACCAATCAAGAGGGGTGTAAGGCAGGGGGACACAATCTCCCCAATGCTATTTACCACGTGCTTACAGGAGGTTTTCAGAAGCCTAGAACGGGAACAGTTAGGGATAAGAGTTAATGGAGAATACCTTAGTAACCTGCGCTTCGCCGATGACATTGCATTGCTGAGTAACTCAGGAGACGAATTGCAACTCATGATTACGGAGTTAGACAAGGAGAGCAGAAAGGTGGGTCTTAAAGTTAATCTGCAGAAAACGAAAGTAATGTACAACAACCTCTGAAAGGAGCAGCGCTTCGAGTTACGTAATAGTGCACTTGAAGTTGTAAAAGATTATGTCTACTTAGGGCAGGTAATAACCGCAGAGCCTAACCACGAGATTGAAGTAACTAGAAGAATAAGAATGAGGTGGAGCACATTCGGCAAGCACTCTCAAATTGTGACAGGTAGATTGCCACTATCCCTCAAGAGGAAGGTATATAACAGCTGTATCTTGCCGGTACTTAGCTACGGAGCAGAAACCTGGAGACTTACAAAGAGGGTTCAGCTTAAATTGAGGACGACGCAGCGAGCAATGGAAAGAAAAATGGTAAGCTTTTTATTAGTGTGAAATGCACACGTACCTGAGACCGAATGCTCTTCGCACACTCTGGCTCCTACGTTCGGTACCCAAAAGCTACCTGTCGCTGTGGCTCTCTTTACAGCTGCCGCCCACCTCATTTTTCTTTCTTCGTTTCATGGAAATCGATACATGCGTTTGCCTTTCACACTCGAGTTGGAGCAGCCAATGACTGAACAACCAACCATGGTTTAGCAGGACAAAGATAAACAGGCAACCGTGCGTGCAAATCCCTGAATAATTCGAGGCTTACGGCGGAGCGATTCGTCATCGTCTACTCTTCTCGAACCGGAAGCCAGCAGCAGACGGTGCATCCCACAATCTCTCAGCTCTTTTCCTGGTAACCTATTTATTCCTCTATATGTCTATTGAACCTAAATTCGAATGTTTCGAACACATTTCTAAACGCGGCAGGTGATACAAGCTTTAGTACGCAAACTGTCGAACGAAGGCTGAGAGCAGCGTACTTGAAGCTTCGGGAAGTATGCATGCGACCGGCGCATGCACTGTCTTCTACAGTGCGTGTGATTGTCGTTGCCACAGCCGCTGTGGACGAAACCGCGGTCGCTCTTGATGCGATCATGTATGGCGACAACGTAACTGACAGAGCCCCGAAAGTGTGCGCTCAACCAGTCAACGCTGCTTTCCGCGAACTCTGTGGACAAAACTGCGGCAGATGCGATCGTGGATGGCATAAAGTGAGTAAGTTTTGAAGGTGCATGCGCAGCCAAGCGCACGGGGATTGTAAAAGGAACTACCGTTTTCCGGAACCGCCGTGCACAAAACCGCGGTAGCGGGGACGCGATAGCAATTTACGAGCTCGGAGAGCACACAGAGGTAAATTAAAGGTAGCAAATACGTGAAAAAAGTCACAGTTTTGCCGCAAGGCCGAAGCAATGAATGCAACAGCAACAACTTGGAATGTCACGCTGAGAACGGCAAGCAAATCAAGACGTGTAGCGCGCTGCTCACGCACAAATGACGCACGAAAACACTACTCACAGGACGAGACCGAACTAATAACGTTTGCCACTCCACACATAACGCGCTGTTTAAACAAAAACGATGCACAATCACAGGTACGGATGAGTACAAACTAACAAGTGTCCCAGTTATACTTCGCTGTGTATGAAAAGCACGCTCCTTTTGCAAATGGGGCCTGAGCAGAGACCAAAGTGACCTTTGTGGGCCTGGCAACTAACGCGATCGTTCCAGTGAAAGCCGAAGGCACACGATTCTCCCCATCAAAGGATAAGCGCGCGCACACAAACATCTACTCTCCCCCCCCCCCCCCCAAGCCAGCCACCCATCCGCGGGGCAAAGTACGTATGAGAGATAAGCGCGCGTCGGCGCATCGCGATGAGATGGGCACGAGCGCGGGCAATTTTTTCTTTCGTGAGTGTTCATATGTATGTATATAGATACATATACATATACATTGAATGACAGTGGTGGCGTCGACGGCAAAAAAAAAGCCGGCCTAGAGTGTCCACATAATTCCTATCGCAATAAAAATGGGTCAGACACGTTTTGGCGTTCCGGTCAAAAGAATCTAGTAGTGAGCGAAGTTTTGACCCACGCTTTTGCAGCAGTCAGTTGCATCGTCCCGTCCGTTCACGGGTGTCCCAGGCAAACATACGCGAGTTGTTTTTAAGGAAATAGATTCCGCTAGTTGTGTTCTTTCTTTGAGACTCACCTTAGTGGAAATTCCTACTCTCGTGTGTTCGGCCACGCCAAACCACTATCACAACGCTGATGTTGCCACTTGCGATTGAGACCCCCCCCCCCCCCCCCCCCCATCCTCCACACAACCGCTTGTTTTTCGCTATGTTTTTTGTTTGTTTGTTTGTCCATGAATTCTTGTTTTGTTGCAAAAAAAAAATAGGAGCAAAAAATAGTTCAGCGCACCCCACCCCCCCCCTCCGTTGCGGAAATCTCCCGGATTCAGAGAACCCTTGAACTTGGTAGGTATGGTCAAACCTCATGAATTCGTAACCACTTTTAAACATATTAACATTTAAAACATAGTTGCAACAAATCCCTGGCAGATTCTCATACAGCCTAATGCATTCACTGATCACTTAAGTCGTAGTGGTTCGTGCTATGCCTACCGGTTAGTGCATACCATGCGCACTGCAAGAACTTTTTGTGCCATAAAAATTTACTGCGGTGCGGAACTTCTCAAGACGACAATGTGGTGCCGAAAGTTTTCTGTCTTTTCGGAGATCAGTTGATAGCTAGGTTCCGACTTCCAGTCGATTGCAGCAAAGCCTTTGTGGTTAAGCATAGGGAGAAAACAAAGGCGAGGTGGCAGCCACCGACAAACATGCCTGCATGACTTATCGCCGACAACATTCTCTCAATAACCATCTTCAGCCATTTGCTCAGGCAAGCTTGCAGTGTAACACCACTTTGGACCTGCTGCACATTTTTAATAGGCAAGAACCTCAATGTGCTGGGGTGCTGATTGCTGCTGCCTCGTTGTGCAAGATTGTGTTCAAGTGGACACACCTTCATAGAAAAGAAATCAGCTTGCTGTTCCAGAGTTCAACATTGAGGGCAGTGGGTGCCACTCTAAACGCATGAGCACGGTTCAGCAAATGTATCAATTTAATAACCATACCACATGCTTTTATTAGGTGACCACTCAAACATGCCTGTCCACTGCAGTGGCATAACCAGGGTGTGGCACACTGTGCCCAAGACTGTGCCCTCTTCCCTTCCTCGCTTCCCTTGAAAATTTTTATCTGCCATAGGATACACAGCACAAAGTGACACAAGGCCACTCTTACCTGCCTGAACCACACATCGAATCAAGGGACATGGCTCCAAGTAAGGGACATGCTGACTTTACTTCCTCTGTGTCCTTGTTTGTATCAGCGCTGTTGAACCATTTTAGAATGAACTATAACCAACCTGCACAATTTAGTGCTCTTCCTTAATTAGCACCCTGCAGTGACAAGGTAAGAGCATTCATGTCATTCCTGGCTGTTAAGAGCTAGTCTTGTTACCAAGAGATAGTCTTGTTACCAAGAGATAGCCTTGTTACCACTTTGCCGCATTGATGAGGCTATCTCTTTTTATGACGCCTTTTTGCTGGTATGCCGCTCTAAGTGATGCTGCACTCACCAATCACAAAGGAACACTATCTGGAAGCACTTGTAGCATTGTTCATGGTTCAGTATTCACTCCCATAGAGTGCATCTTACGCCATCTTCAAGAAGAAAGATGCATGCATTCTATTTGAAATATCAGCTTTGTTCGTGCTGTTGGGCCATCTGATACTTTTGTGGGAAATTTCATTGGTGTGTGTGATCTATTCATTGCATTTGTCTACTTGCCATGTCTCAACCTGGTGAGGGGCCTTTAAAAAGTTGTATCTGTGCCATTGATGTTTGGTAGGATAATGTGTGGAGAAGGGTAAGAAGACCATATTTTGAATGCACCAGGAAACTTTAATGTTTATATAGATAAACTTGAAAGGAGGAATGAAGTTCACAGGGGAACCTTTGCCTTTGCCTATAACCCTATTTCATTGTTGAGAGTTGAACCATCTGTGATGGGAACTGTGCAGTATACTTGACACTGAGCCTTTAAACTGCTGAGTCATGCCCACTTTTTTCTTGCATCTCCAGGTCTCTCATGGCACTCATTGCCAGCAGCAGAAAGACTTCTGCACCTGCTGCCGCCAATGCAAAAGCAAGTGAGTTGTGCCTCTTATTTCTTGACTGAGAGGCTAATTAGAGGTAAGCTGCAGAACTATAGTTCATAAAGTGCAAATGTAGCAGAAAAAGCGATAACAAGGCCAATTAACAAAAGGTGCATTACACAAGCCCAGAAAGTATGAGGCAGGCAGGACAGAGTGTCGGTGACTCCGGAATACTTACCTCATAAGCTTGCAAGAGCACCTCCATGATTGCTCTACGGTGCCGAAGAGTGTTTCGTGCTTGAGTAAAGTTACTTTATTTTTCATGCAGTAGGTAAGACACCAAGTATTGCAAATGGACTGCTCAGTAGTGCTGCCTCAGCTGAATGCCATGGCAGCCTTAGGTTTTCTGTGGTGACATTGGGGAAAGGCCCTCAGAATGGGAAATTTGTCAGAGTAAAACTGTCTGCATGCTAGTGGGTTCATATTGAACTGAAAGATTGGTTCCTTGAACTATTGTGGAGCCATGTCAAGCCTGTGTCCTAGCTGACGAATTCACAATCTAGGATGACACTAGTGCTCTCTGTCCTGTCTATCTTCTTCTTCCTTTAGTGAAGTTTAATGTGAGCCAACTAGCTTGCAAGGAAGCTTTACTGCTAGTGATGGCTGATTTTATTGGCATTGTAAATCTGGATTCATAGTACATATTAACCAGCTGTTATAGGGATGTTTCTGGATGTTGTAGTTGAATGCTTGAAGGCCAAGTGTTTTACTTTTTTGACAGTTTAAAAATTGTCTTTAGAGTGGCTTAATCTCATTACTTTTCAAGCCAATTATTATTTAGTTTTTAGCGCTTTAGTACATTCAGCAATTTCGTTCATACAGGAATGATTCACGTGGGCGGGACAAGCTCTGATCTCTTTGTTGTTGCTATCCTACTTAGCCCACACCGTCCTACTTTGCCACATTCCTGCATCTGCTTGTCTGTCTGTTTTACCATCTACTCTGCGCAGCCGTCACTGCCAGCTTCTGTAACTCAGGGCATTTGCACATGGAAACAGGTTATTCGATGATTTTGAAGCGCCTCAACAGATGGCTCCGCACAAAGAGAATGGTTGGCTCAGAGAACATGAGAAGAGAAAATCGTGCGTGAAATTGTGACAAGGAGCAGAGGAGATGAACCAGACCCCCACGCCAGCGTTGCACAGTTTGTCCATAGCGAATGCATTGTGATGTGGTGGTGCTGGCATTTCTCTATATCCTGCCTTACTGGTCAAAACATTGTCCTGAATGGCATCACCTCTTTAACCGCAGCCTGATCTTTATACTCGACACTAGAGGAGAAATGCCGCTTTCTTAAAGTAGTAGATACGAAGTGATATTTAGTGCTAAGTAACACTAGAATGAAAAGGGGTCTCATCCTCGTGTCACTTCGTGCTGAATATCGCTTTATTTCTGCTCAACTTACTTTAGTTATTCGCATCAGTAGTCTTGCTCTGTACAGTGCTGGTGTACTGCAATAACTGAACCACAACTGTGAAGACTGTGTGTAACTGCAGGATTTGCTTTGTGATGTACCATCAGCATTAGGAAATAACAGGCATCTGTAGATTTTTTTTTAGTAGAACAGCAGAACGTATACTCTTTCAGCTTTTGTACGTAATGCCGCATATGTATGCACTATTTATTGTTTTGCTTTTTGCATCTCTTTCACACAGGACTTATCACTTTCATTCTGTTTTCACTAAGCACAAGATGCTGCTGTATCCTGCATTTCTGTAATATTGTCGGCAAAACTACAGCAAGATACTCTCCTCTAATTTGACTGTGCCCAACACTTCAACCCTTTGTCATCCTGAAAACTCTTTTTAAGATTACACCAATGGGCCCAGTTAGATCCATAACTCAGATACTCAGAAGTGCTTTTTCTTTCTCAGCATCACTACCATTTGATAGTATAAAGCATTAGTTAAAGCTTGCTTTGCCACTAATTTGAATGACGTGCTAATTAAACTTCAAAAATTGTGCTGCTAAAAAACGCACGAAGAGATTTCTATTTTGCAGCCCAAGTGTTTCTACGTTGCAACCCAGTTTTTGAATTACAAGAATATAAAGCGCATGAGGTGAGATGCTGCTGTACATGGCATGTGGCAGTGTGTTATAACACATGATCACTATAGCCTAGTAAGGCATTATGGAAATGCCAAGGAAGTTCTTGAAAAGGTCTTTACAGCTCTTCTGTATTCTCCTCAGAATGAAGAAGGCTGTGCCAGGTCAGTTCATTTCAAACTTCTTTACATTGCTCTTGAGCATACAAGATAACAACAAAACTCTTGTTTTGCAGGAATCAATGAAAAATCTGGCTAAATATACTTATTTTACAAACACTAAATAATGACAATTCATCTAATTAATTAAGCAGCTCTTAACTGCAATTTAGAGCACAGATTGTGTATGAAAATTCATTTCAACTAATCGGAGATCATTCAGCAGGACTGCCACACACACTGAGTGAAAATAAACTACAGAAAATTCTATTTGTGTGCTAGAAAGATGAAAAAGGGGACACACCTGGGAAATGCTGTTTTGAAACCAGCCATAAGTCACCTATACTAGAAGTGGGACCGCCATTTCATTGAGCCTAAATAAAGCAATGCTTTATCTGTGAGAAATTCAAGTTGAAGGTAAAAAATATTTGCTACGAAATAAATTAAAACAAGAGTCCGGCAGGAAATCTGTCTCTTCAGGAAGAAACGTGATGAAAGAAGCGAAGTACACCGACCAAATAAAAAGCTTAAAAGAAAACAACATTTCAGCCTTCACACAGAAGCCTTGTTCACAATCTAAACTGTAATTTTTTTAGCTATTATTTGGTCGATTTCCCTCATCATGTTTCTGAATTAAGTACTCGTGCTCGAATCAATGGCCCCACAGAGACTGCAGAGGGTATCACTCTATAGATATGCCCATTCACTGTGAATCATTGTACATACGAGAAGCCCGCACATGTTTTCACTCACAGAGGAAGATCAGCTGCAGGCGAAGCTGATGGAGGAGATGATTGAGCAGATTAAGAAGGGCGTCCACTTGCGACCCACTGCGCGACCCATCATAGAAGAGGTCTGTTCTTTTTATGTCTGCATTAAATGTGCCACACAAGTGCTTGTTTTATGGTCTAATGTCGTTCAGGGGACAGTTATTAACATTATCTCTGAAGAGGTGCGGCTGAGATATAAACAAATTATAGAGACTGCTTAAAAACAAATAAGTTTGAAGTTGCACGTAATAGTATCCCACTGACAGAAAGGGGGATTATTTTAGCTCTTTAATTTATTTCACTTCAAGTGAGCATTATTACAGTTCATTTAACAAATGATAAATAATGTCTGCTGCATTATCATTGGCTTAATTGTCTGTTAGTTTTATTAGTTAATTATTTGACGGTACTCTTGCAATAGTTAAAACACATAGCCCTATACGCTTGCCCTTTGAAGATTCCAATCGGTAGCATTTTTTTTTGGTTTTTTGCAGCTATAAAATTTTTTTCAGAAAACTAATGAATAGACATTTATTGTTTGGCAGATGTAATAAGTAAACTTGTAGTAAGTATGGTATTGCATTTGTTTTGTTTGATGCACCATCTTATTACATCGTGCATGGCACGTAGTGTAATTGTAATGCCCTATTAACACCCATTATTTCCCACCAATTAGGATCTGGAGGAGAAGTCATCTTCAGAGCCAGCTGTCAACGAAGTCCTCAGCATACTGGTGAGTTACACTGCTCAGCTGTACAGTTAAACTTCAATATTAAAGAGTATAGATAAAAATCAGCAATTAACTTCATTTTATTGAAATTCATCATGGTGAAATTAATAGACCTTTCATGCCTAGTATGGTAAGATATGGCTTAAAAAAAAAAAATAGGTGTTGCGAAAAATGTTTGCTTAATAGAGCAGTACGAAAACAAGCTAATTTCAATTATGCACATGAAATCAACTTTGGCAAGCCCAATATTTAGGCAGCTCTCATATTGTTGGTACAATACTGCCCCGACTAAGTCCTCTTCAGATCAGTCGCATGGTATGCATAAAGTCGAAAGAAATTCTGGTCTAAATAACGCTTTCTCTATTTTATTATAGCCAGCCAGATGCTCCCGATCTAGCCCTTTACCATTCTCTCCTGTAGCCCTTTGCTGCTCTTGCCCATCGCCTAGCCTTCACATGCGCTTTGTGGTCGTGGGGAAGAAGCCCCTCAAGCAGTGCCTCACAACAGGAGTAATATGAAGTAATTTTTTGTTCAGTTGTTTACAGATTCGTAAAGCAGCTTCTTGAATTCCTGGTGTTCACTATGTTGGCGGTCACGCTGGCTCTTGAAAAGATGCGGTGTTTTAAGATAGCCGTTCTTGGTGCTATGCAGGCAACCAATGGGGAAGCGTCAGTGCAACGCAACTACAAGTGCTGCGCCGTGATGCAGTGGGGGTGTTACTCTGAGCCGCAAAAAAAGGAGCACGAAGCAACAAATCTGACAGACATATGATATTGTAGTGGGAAACACGTCTATCGCATCTCTGGGGAAAAGTGCGCGGAAACATGCGCGGCGCAATCAGCGCTACCCATCATGTAGCGTTTCATCACGACCACGCCCTGAACTAAGATGGACTGATGGCTCCCGTTGATAAGCGCGCGCTTGCACTGGCATGGAAAGAAATAAAAGAGGCTTTGGTCTAAATCATTGTGATAAGGTTAAGTAAATGAAGCTATTGCACCTTTTTTGTCGCTGTGCCTTGCCGTGATTAGTGCAGAGCCACACAGCAGCAAATTCTATCTTCACTAAACCAAGCCACTTGCTTTTCAATCTATCCACTGAACATTCAACATTTAATCCATTGCATGTTCGACAAACAAAAGAGCTGCAGTTTAGAATTGCATGAAAGCAAGATGGCAACATTAATTACAGCACACACACTCACCTCATTTGATGTTTGACAACAGTGCACACTCACGGGTATGTCTGAAAACTAAAACAAGGTCCCGCATGGTGTGATGAATTTTGGTCACTGCTCTGCATTGGTTTGTCAAAAACATTGCCGTCAATTTTATCACAGGCTGCTCACACTCATTAAATAGGCAGTAGGTAACTGCAAGCAACTCAAAACAATCTATGGTTTAGACATTCTATTATATTGGCAGTGGGGAACTGCAAGAAATTCCAAACTATCAATTGTTTAGATTTCTTTGGCATTATACTTGCTAAAAAAAAAACTTTTTCACCTGACAAGTGAAGCACTAATAGTGATAGCATTATAAATGTTTTCTTAGTTTTATAAGACCTACTTATCTTAGTAAGCATTCGCATGCAAACTGAGTGAACGAGCATGGTGCTATGCACAACCACATATCACTCGATTACCCCAAACACTGGCTTTCGCAACGCTGACATGTTAAGCAGTGCAAGCAGAAGTGAGCAAATGTATTGTGTAGCTTCTCGGATTCTCACAATAATGTAAGGTGCAACATTAGGCATGCAGAAATATGGTTTCCAGCAGAGACAGATACACAAAGTTCACTCAGCCTTTGGGACCTTGACAGATGACTTGTGAGATGGAGCACTCATGCACCACTTTTCAGAAAAACTTTACTGCAGTCCGACCAACCAAAGCTGTGCTGACTGGAGACTTTGACCAAATCCTGTCATGCGCACAGCAGGTAATTCCTGGTGTGTTAGAGTAACAGGATAGGTATAAGCACAAGGGAAACACAGTCAGTGGCGGTATAGAAATATCAAAAGTTGTGATGTGCCTTGGAAATTTGGAGATGGCTGGAAGACATACTTGTACTGCAGTCGACATAAAACGACCCGACGATAATGATCACAGGACTTGCATGAACCTTAGAAACATCTAATTTTGGTTTCTTGTTGTTGTTCAGTTAAGTTTTTATCTTTAACTTGTCAAAATTTCAAATCTTGAACAAAGGGATTGATTTCATAGTTTTGGAAGAACTGTGCTGGACTGGTGTAAATAAATTTGTGTAGGTGCAGGGGGGGTCAAAAATCTCCAGGCCACTGTCCTATGTATTCCTGTGGGAGCGTGAGCTGGGAACTATATTCCTTTTGCAGACAGGTTGTCTGTTGTCGTCCTTGTTCTGGAGAAATACTGACTGTCATAGTGTACGGGTGTTTTTCAACTCTGCAATGTCTTACGAGCAAGCCCAAAGACCTGTAGTGCAGCTGGATGTGTCTGCTCAGTTGTATGTTTTCTGATAATCTTTACAGTTTGAGAATGTTTTGTTTCTGGAAACTAGCACTGCAACCTTATTGAAATAATGTTTCCTTAAATGGGCCCTGAAGCACTTTTTTGAGTAACCATAGAACTAATTAACTGGAACAGCTTATTGCATCAAAAGTTCAACGCTGGAACAATTTTAAGAATTCGTCCAGTACGAGCGAAGTTAGAAAGATTTGTCACATGTTGCAATTCCATTCTCTTCTCTTTCGTTCGAGGAAAGCCCTGGAGGTTAAGCAGGGAGGGATGGGCAAACAAAAACGTCACGCGTGCTTCGTGACCTTGAGCATTTTTAAAATTTTTTTTCGAATACGTGGATTTTTCAGTGCGATCCCGTGCGCACGCATGGACAAGTGGTCACCTTTCGCGGCAATCTCTGTAACGGCCGAGCACGCCATGATTAAATCAACCAATTGCTGATAGATGGGTATTCTACGAGTGATTTTTTAGCGTCTTCCGTCATTTGTCGAGGGAAGAGAAAGCAATTTTTGGCTGACTCCGATAAATTATTGTGAATTTCAGGCCACGTGCTGCGCTATAACATTTGGCTCGCGTGTTCTTGGGAGCCTCTACTACAGATCGGCAGTGTTTTCTGACCGTGCTCAAGAAGTGTTGCAGGGCCCCTTTAAGATATGCAAGCTTTCAATGTTCCTTCAAGATATAGCCTGAAGAGGAGCCACTCGTAATAGCAGATGCTTATTAGACACATACTACAAAGGTGTGAACTTCCCAGCAACTAAAATATGTCATGATTCATCTCACTGAAGGCGAGCCAAAAAAAAAAAAAACTTCAAGAACTTTGTCATGAACTCACAAAAGGTATGGCTAACATATGAATGGACCTTTTCAGAAACACGCAGCCCCACACTCTCCTGTGGAAGCCTGTTTTGGCGAGCGGGTGCGTCAGTGCACGTTTTTATAGCTTGCATCTTCATGGTGTTGGGGTGTTTTCTTTCCTTATATTGCAGTATGGAAGTGTGCATATAATTGGAACATGAGCGCACACTTGCGATGCTAGTGCACAGAAGATATAAGGCTTGGAACAAAACTACAACTCTGAGGCTGCCTGTTTGCAAGCTGTTGCCAAAGATTGTTGCCGTTAGGATAAATGTAAATCAGTTTTAAAACGACAATGCTTTAAAAAAAAGCAGGAAAGAAGTTGTAGTAGGAATTAGCCTGGTCAAGTTGCACAGCTGTGAAAACTTTGCATCATAAGATTGTGTAGCATATGCAGAGAAGATGTAATAGGCTGGAACAACACTTACTTTTGATGAGGAGGAGGAGGAAGGAAGGAGGAAGAACAGGGAGATTAGCCAGTTCTCAGAATTTTATTGGATAGAGCAAAAATATTGCGTGATGGAGCATTTGACGCAGGGAGCACAGGAAAGCACAGCACATACCGATGAGAGCAACAGCTAACCAGTCGTTGCCAGCTGCTAATTAATGTGTCTTTGAAACCATCATAAAAGGTTCATTATGCACAATGATAACATTGTAATTTGCACATTTTAACTTGCACTCGAATCTTTGGCACAAGGCGAGGCACTGAGTACTTAAGTTGTGGCTTGCAGGGTGACATTAAGCGTCAAAAGAGCTCCCGAGGGGTGCGCCAGTGTGACTCAATGGACTCCCTTGCCAGCAGTTCTTCCAGCAGCCGGGAAGAACAGAGTGAGCTGGAGCGCCTCTTCCAATCCAAGAACCTCCGTCACAGAGCTGAGGGTGAGAATGTCGGCCTTCTTCACTGCCTCTCGGGTATAGTTTGTAACGACTGAGAACAATTATCTGAACGCTCATTTATATAGATCATCCCCAGAAGAAGTTTGCATCACGAGTCCTCCTTGCTTCTTAAAATGAAAATAGGGTAAAAAGATAACGAGAATGCCCACCAAGGTAAAACACACAAAAATTAAAAAGACGTTTCCGCTCCCTGCATGGAAGTCTTGTTCGCAACGACTGCAAATGGCGTAGTGCGCTCTTCTTATGCACGTGTCATCCTGTGTTGAAGACATCAAGTGTACACAGGGGGGAGTTTCTTAATATTTCTGTTCAGCATATGCACAGTAGTCTGAATGGCCAGAGATTCTATGTGCAATCGCAGAAACAACTTGATTTCCATGGCAATGACGCAAGCTTTATCCCAGTTGATAGCATGTTGTGTCCCGTAGACACAACAGGACTGGTGTCCCAATCACAGGACTGGTGTCCCAATCTGCCCTATTGTTAATTTTACAAGGTCACCTCTGAACAAGCTTTCAGCTTACCTACACAGGGCCCCCAACCGCTCGATATCAATCATTTCCTGAACTTCAATTCTGTGCAGCCCTCCTGCCATAAAGGTTCTGTTGTGTCTGCACTCGTAAAGCGTGCTTGCCGGGTTTTCTCTAAGCAAGAAGACGCACTAGAGGATGTGGAGACCCGTTCGACAGGAGCTGGCTGCTTGCGGATACCCGCCTTCCTTCATGAACTCGGTGTAGCAACAACTGCAGTGCCCAGCTCAATCGCACACGATTTCAACAAAGCGCACATCGGTGCCTTACTTTCTATGCTTCAGTGAAACTCTCGCTCGGGTCTTGCGCAGCTACGTCATCCAAGTGGCTCACGTTCCGGCACGAAAGCTATGAGGTCGTCTCACAAATATCAAGGATAAGTTGGACAGACACATTTTTTCCAATGTAGTTAGAAAATTCCGCAAGGACTGCGAATACGTACGTATTGGCAAGACAGGTAATTACAAAAAAAGGCTCCGGGAACATTTTCATGACGTCAGGAACAAAAAAGCAACTTCTAATGCACTCGCAGAGCGTGTTGCATCTACAGGACACGATAGACTGGGATAAAGCCTGCATCATTGCCACGGAAAGAAAATTGTTTCTGCGATCGCACATAGAATCTGTGGCCATTCAGACAACTGCGCATACGATGAACAGAAATATTGGGACACTCTTCCTTTGTACACACGATGTCTGCAACACGTGATGACACGTGCATAAGAACAGCGTACTATGCCATTTGCAGTCATTGTGAACAATGCTCTCTTGTAGGGAGCCCAAACGTCTAAGCTTCTTCAAATATTCGAACAAATAGCTGAGTATTCTAATTCTCTTTGATTCGAATTTAAATTATCAAATATTTTCGAAGTATTCGAAATGACCAAATAAATGTATATTAGTTTGCAGGGCACTGCCTGTAAAGGTGGTTTCACTGCAATGTAGGAATGCTAAACAAAGAAAACATTCACTCAAAGAAAAGTTACTTTGCTGTGAAGCCCCCCTACAAATTTAAAGGGGCCCTGCAACATTAACTGAACATAGTCCGAAAACGCTGCCGATCGGTAGTCGAGGCTACCGAAAGCACGCGAGGTAAATATTGTAGTGCAGCACGTAGCTTGTAATTCACAATAAAATTTCAAAGCTAAAAATTGCTTTCTTTCTTCTGCAAATGTCACAACGAGCTCAACAATCACTGGTCACAGCCAAGAAGAAATATACAGCTCTGGTCACAGGCATTGGGTGATTTGAGCATGGTGCGCTCGTTATTACCGGGGCTGTGGCTTGTCCACGAATACGTGTGCGAACGCACTGAAAAGCCGCGCATTCGAAGAAACAAAAGAGGTGTTCAAGGTCACCAGGTGCATATGGAGTATTTTCTTTCTCCGTGCCCTTCCTCCCTGCTTACCTTCCAGCTATTTGGTCAAGAGGAGAAGAGACAATGCATTTACAACGTGCGACAAATTTTTACTGGACTGATTTTAGAAACTTTACGGCGGTAAATTTGTGAGGCAACAAGCATGTTTACTGGCTCCATGGCTACTCGAAAAAGTGTTGCAGGGCCCCTTTATAGGAACATGTTACCCTCAAATCAATTCTTCATTTTATTAGGCTTATTATGATGGCTTATATGATCCAAGTATAATAAATTTTAGAACATCAAGTATCCTACAGGTTATCACTCGCATCCTACCGAAACTATCACTCAAGGTTGTTTCGACTTCTTTTGAATGAAAAAATAAATGGCATTTGCATAGAGCCCTCTTTCAATTCAAAATAAATATTGTGCAGGTCAGTTGGGTCATGATAAATATTTCTTTTTTTTGTATGTCATACATACCATTCTAATTCGATTCAAAATTATTGGATCAAAATCACTATTCGCTTCGAACCAAAAATTCACTATTTGCATAAGCCTAGAAACGTCATTTTAATTGTGGTGTGTTTTACCTTGTTCGGCGTTTTTGTTATTTTTGCACCATGTTTGTCCCCGACCAGACGGCATTTCGTCGGACCCTTGACTGTAGAAAATAGGGTAAATGGTCCATCAGTGCCTTTTTTATTATTGATGTGGTCATCTCTTACCTGTGAAATCAAGCAATGCTCTCAGAATGTGAATGTGTAACATTTACATTCTGATCATTAGCGCTTACACTCTTACATACCATCAACATATAAGCATTGAAATCACCTTTCCACACCCATAGTGACAATCCGAGGTCATAACTGGTCACATTATAAGTAATATTTTTCAAAAGTTTTTACAGTTGAAACCTGTGATAACAAAATCTTGGGGAAATGAAATTCTCACTACAACCAAATATATTTGGGGCGCCGGCAAACGCCCATAGTCTATGCGTTTCATAACACATGAATACGAAACAGGGATGATAACAACATCCAACAGGGATGATGGTTTGCCCATAGATATGGGTAACTGCACAGTGTCCCCCCGCAGGGGCGTCTGCGCAATCAGGCATCGTGCGTGGCTGAGCCGTGTTCGAAAAAAGGGGATCCTGAGAGTTGAGCCGACACTGGGTGATTGGACCTTTAAAACCCCCCGGCAGAGGCAACACACCCCTTTGACGCCGGCTTCACGTAGACGGCACCCCTGGTCTGACCCACCTAGGGGAAATCGGCCGTCGCATTTTCCTATCTCTCTCTTCCTACATCTTCGTCTTTATCTCTCACTTTCTATCTGTCCTGTCTTCTACTCTCTTCGGTTTACTTCCAAATTTCTCGGCGGCAAGGGGTAACCTTGTGTGGATGCCCAGTCTTGGCTTTTCTATATTAGGTTATAGCAGCGCTGTACAGCTGGCGTCAACAGGACTTGCTTAGCATCTCCTGTCATGTCCCCTGGTTGGGCTCGGTGGTGGGCGGCTGGCCCCGTTGCCAACTTTTTTAGTTTATTTATGTCAAATGCTTTCCCCCCCTTTTTGATCGCTCTCTGAAAAGGTGGCACACCGAAGACACGTTCATCCTCAATACACCAAAACCAACCTTTCCAAAATACCATGTTATTCATAGTCAGAATGAAAAAAAGACAATACGTGAAATTTCAACTTTTCTTGTGTCGAAAACTCTCACTGAAGCAATAGGCCCAGGTTATAAAGTGACAAAAATGAGAAGTGCCGATTTCCTTCTGGTGGTTCGGGACAAAACTCAATACGAAAATCTATCCAGAATTGTAACATTTGGGGACCCTCCTGTTTCAGTGGGCCCACACAGGTCTATGAACACAGTGCGTGGGGTAATTTCCGATGACGATCTTATCAATCTGAGTGAAAGCGAACTGTTAGAAGGTTGGCAAGACCAAAATGTTGTGAAGGTACAGAGAATAATAATCAAGCGTGACAACAAACAGGCCCCTACAAAACACGTAATAGTTACCTTCGGAACCAGTGACCTACCAGCATCAATTGAAACCGGTCATTGTAAGCTCCTCGTAAGACCATACATTCCCAATCCTCGTCGATGTTTCAAGTGTCAACGTTTCGGGCATGGATCGCAGAGTTGCAGAGGGCACGCGACTTGCGCAAAGTGTGCATCCATGCAACACGTATCCTACAACTGCACCTCAGAAACAACCCATTGTTGGAACTGTGAAGGAGATCACGCTGCCTACTCGCGATCATGCCCCACATGGAAAAAAGAGAAACAAATAGTAGAACTTAAGGTCAACTTTAACCTGTCATTCCAAAAAGCACGTCATCGGTTCGTACTACACAACCAGTCTTTTCCCTCCTTTGCCGATGTGACGCGCCGGGGCACTGTGCCACACCTTTCGGCACCCGCGAATGTCAGACAGAGTGTGGCCGCGGCAGTGCCACCAGCGCGCCCGGTTGGAGCAGCCTGTACTGCTCCGCCATCTGACAAACAGGGTCGGCAGACTCCTGTGTCTGCTGAACTTCGGACCACTGCAAGCGCAGTTAGGTCCGAAAGTTCTGTGAATGTGCCTGCCAAGCAGGCACCATCCACCACCTCACAAGAGGTGATGGATACAAGTCCCACTCCTCTGGCGCCTCAGACGCCGAAGGATAGGTGCAACTCTTTGGAGCGTGCCAAAAAAGAAAAACCTCGAACCACAGGGCCCCCAAAAAGCCTTGTAATCCCTAACACAACACTTCTGTACACACAGCACCACACTACATTAAAATGACACAAATACTACAGTGTGAAGGTCAGAGGACAGCTGAGAAACCTCGACGATATCCAGGGACTTTTACACAAACACACACCTAAGATGTTGTGCGTACAAGAGACACACCTGAAACCTAAACACACCAACTTTTTATGTCATTACGTTACTTTTCGGAAGGACCGGGGTGATGCCATTGTGCCATCCGGTGGTGTTGCCATTATAGTCAATCAAGGGATTGCATGTACACACCTACCACTACAAACACCCCTTGAGGCGGTGGTTGTTCGAGCAGTTCTTTTGAATAAGTTCGT